AGGCCTGAATGTCAGAGAGAAGGGGACAATGCCTTAATAAAGAGCCGTTGGGAAACACTGGTGTGAGTATGAGGGATGGAAAACAACCAGGGTGGTTGGGAAGCTCTACTGAGATCTCAGGTCATTTCTACACCAGAAGCCAGTGTGGAGCAGGGTGAGGCTAAAGGGCCTTTGCATCAACTGGTGCCTCCCTGCAGAGGTTCACTCCCTGCCCCTACTAGGTGCATGGAGCTCTGGACAAAATTCTGCAGAGAATTCCTCTTCAGTGGGATCAGCCCCTCTACCCACTACCTTACACTTCCATTCAACAGTGCCCCTCTGCCATGATTCTTACATACACTACGGTTCTATATTAGTTTTTGAGATTATTTGATTAATGCCATCCCCCTGAATATGCCACTCCCAAATATGCCACTTTGACATGGTACTTTGAGCTGAAGGCAAGAGAGCAAAGGGAGATGCAGGAAAGACCTTCTAACCTCCCCCTCTGCATAAAAATGGGTCTCTCCCAGGCATAGTGGTGGACATCTGTGCACCAGCTATTTGAAAGGCTGAGACAGAAGTATTGCAAATACAAGGCCAGCCTCAGCAACTTGTCTCAAAAACCCTGTCTCAAAAAATAAAAAGGTGGGGCTGGGGTAGTGGCTTAGTGGTAGAGTGCCTGCCTAGTATGCATGAGACATTAGGTTCAATTCTCAGTACCACATACAAAAAAATAAAATAAAGGTCCATCAAGAACTAAAACAAACAAACAAAAAGGGCTAAGGATGTAGCTCAGTAGTAAAGCACCCCTGGGTTTAACTCCCAGTAGCAAAACAATTAAAAATTAAAAAACAGGTCCTAAAAGTTCTCATGATACGTCTTTTTGTCCCTTATTGCCAGTCAGGGAATGGGCGTTGAAATGGATGTGTACAAACAAACCTATCAACATAACTCTCACCTTCCCTTAGTTTTTCCAGTTTTTGTCTCAGTCACTATCCCCCAATTGACTACCTCCAGACCAAACCCCTTTCTCTTGTCATTACTTCACAAATTTATCACTCCTTTATATACAAGGTATCTGAGCTGCCTGCTTTGGTTCCCTCTTGACCTCTTTCTTTTCTTGTACGGATTCCCATATACATGTAAAATTTTAATAAAACTTGTGTGCTTTCCCCCGTTAACCTGCCTTATGTGATTTTCATTCCTATACCCGTTAGAAACTTTAAGAAGGCAGATGAGAAATGTTTCTTCCCCTAGACACCATTCCCAGACTGTGAGCTCCTACCAGAGTCCCTTCTGCCTGTGAGTAGGTCTAAATAAAATCTGTAGAAGCATGAATGGGAGGGAGGTGATGGTCTAGAATTCAGTGGGCAGATGATGCAGGAACTTGAAATCACATCCTACACAACAGGGCTGAAGCAATGGGCAAAATCAGCCAGAAGAGAAGCCTCATGGTGAAACAGAGGTCTCTAAATATCTGAAAGGAGGATGGAAGCTGGGTGCCCTGTGCATGCCTATAGCAACTCAGGCAGCAGGATTCAAAGTTCAAGGCCAGGCTCAAAACTGGAGGTGTGGCTAAGTGGTAGAACACTCCTGGGTTCAATTCCCTAAAAGCGGGAGGACAGATTAGCAGTCTATTTAAGGTATGAGGGTTAGAAAGGCAAACACAGATGGGTCAGTGTTCCAGGGAGACCCATTCTGCTCAAGGGTGAAAAGAGTTTTCACAGAGCCACAGAAAGTACACTGCTTTGGACAGCAGTGGATCCCTGTCCCTGGGCATGCACAGAGACACGCGGGTCAGAGGCATGCAGTCACTTGGTAATGCCATCATAGCAGACTTGAACCACAGATGCATATTCATAATAATGAGACTTGAAGGTCCCTCCAGCCTCAACTGAACTGTCACCGTAACACTCTTGGAGGCACTCGTCCATCTGCACGTGAATCCTTCAAGCTCTCTCCGTGCATAGCATGCAGCCCCTACCCTCGGCCTCCCAGACCCATTCTTTCCTTCACAGGCTTCAGCTTCACGAATGTGCCTGACCCCAAGGAAGGCTTCCCCATCTTAACTTTGGTCACTTCTTGACATGTTTGTCTATCACCTACTGCTCTGCCTCCACAGCACTAGTCATAAGTTTAACTACAGTATTTGCTGCTCTTTTAGTGACTACATCATCAAGCCCCAAAGCCAGAGGAGCATGCCCAGGGTATGCACCACACCTGACCCCTCAGGTCATAAACAGAGTCCATGAACAGCCATCATGTCTTCCAGCTGCCCTACCCAAACATCTAATGAACTGGCATTTCCCAGAGAATTATTTACATAACCTTTAACACCTTGTTCATACACCCCACCCTGGGCATATTGGTTTGTCCCCATTTCTCTAAGTAGACCATACATTTGTCTGCAAACATTAGCCACGGCCTGTAATGGATGAGCACAGTCATGGAGGGCAAGCATCTAGAGACCTTCACACAGCAACGTGCCAGGCATTTATGACTGTTGACACAACTTGGATTTCGTGGCTTTCCCCCCTGTTTTTTCTTATTATATGTTTCAAACCTATCAATCTTTGATATGCTGGGAAAATACCAGGCTGCCACTATAAATGGTTTGGGAAATACTGTGAGGCAACATTACTTTACTAGATGATTAAAAACAGCAAGTCCTCCCATACTAATTAATGGATTAATATTGGCAATAAGATTGTATAGCCCAGATCCTGGCAATGGGGAAATTCACTTAACCCTCTGTTATTAATTAATTCCGTCTTCCTCACATAGTATGGCTCACCTCAAATATCAAGAGAATCTTAAAAAATACATTGACTGTTTGAGAGACAACAGGAGGCACAGATCCAGAGACCAAAGGTCATTTTGACCAAGACAAGAAAAGCACCTTTATATATGAGTCTCACCACTTTGCCACTGTGTCCCTGTTCATGTCTACAGGCATCCTGTAATGCTCATTCACACAGCTCTGAGAAAGGTAAGGTGCACACACAGCCAAGGACGAACCACTTGGCTCTAATTGGCATATCACTGTCTTTTGCATCAAATCTCTCCTCCCCCACCCCACACCTCTATAAGGAACAGAGTCCAAATTGAGCATACCCTGAATGCCAGCCTTCTAACCAGCACTGAAACTCACAGTTCTGCTTCCCAGCCCCAACTGCCCTCATCACTTTCTTCTTCTTCATTTTTTAAAAAATATTTTTAGTTGTAGATGAACACAATAACTTTATTTCGTTTATTTTTTAATGTGGTGCTGAGAATCGAACCTACTGCCTCACATATGCGAGGCAAGCACTCTGCCACTGAGCCACAACCCCAGCCCCCCTCATGTCACTTTTAAGATAGGGTCTTGGCAGCTGGACAATCCCTCATGCTCCCCTAACTCGTGAAGCTGGCTTTCTCTAAGGCTTAGCCAATGATGGCCTTTTTGGTCTACTAATCCTCTCCCAAAGACTCACCAGTTAACATTATCATGGCTTCTTAAGATGGCATTACCAGTCTGCCCTTCATCCACTGACCAATCCATTCGGATACCAACAGCTACAATGTTGTAAATCATAGGGGAAAAGTACCCACAATTGCCCCCAAGGGCCTCCCAGGCTGGAAGCAGTGAGCATTCCCAAGAAAACACACATCATGGCAGTGGATGGGTGTTGTCCGGGAAGAGATGGACCACCTAAGTGAGCATTCAGCAACACTGCCCCTCTCCCACCCACCCTGCCCTGGCAGGACCTCCAGGCCATCTTACATTCTCAACATCTGTACTAATTCCTAATGTAGACAAAGCCTTGTTTCCTCATCAATCAAATCTCTGTTAAATTGTCAGAATGACACAGTAAAAGCAGACAAGGGGAATCTGCTTCCCTAAAAAGCAGGTGAGAGGCCAAGAAATTTTATGTTTCCTCAGGTTGGTGGTTTCTTTGTATCAAGGCCCCCAACAAAATCACACAAGGCTGAATGGACAGTTGAGAATGGTGCTGCTGTGACATGCAAGTGACACAATGAAGAAAGCAGCCACGTTGACACGAGGGGGGGGGGGTTGTGTGTGACAAAGACCAACCTGTGGTCTGAGACTCGACCACAGTACCTCTTTTATAGATTGATTCCCCTCTCCATTATTTCAACTCCATTTTGTATAAAACTTGAGAATTTCAGAAATTCTTTCAAATCAGGCCTTGAATAACAACCCCCCTCCCCCGTGTCCATTCATCCTTGTGTGATTTCCCAACCTGGGAAGCAGATTCCCCTTGTTCTGCTTTTACTGTGTCATTCTGACAATTTAACATGGAGAAAGCAACTGATTTTTTAAAAAAGTGATCCAGAAAGAATACCCAAGTTTTTCCAAATTCTGAGTGCTTTTGTGCCACTTAACCTCTGTCTTGCTTCCCCATAAAGCCCCTTTGCTTTTTGTAAGTCCAAGTCTGAGAGTAAATCACTCCTCAGAACTGTAATTGGGGGAAAAAAACACAAAAAGCAACTGTAACTGGGGTTCCACCTGGGATGTTGGCCTCCCACAGGACCTACCCTTCAAATATCTCAGTTCCAGCAAAATAAGGAAAAGGAGGCACTGAGCTGGGTACAGAGAGAACACTCTTCAAATCTCTGAGGTTAAGAGTTCGTAACAACTTACTACCCACACACAGCGCCAGTGAAAATCCAGCAGCCACTTTCCAACCAAGCGGCAAAGCCGAGCAGCTTTCTGAAGACAGGTCAAGCAAGGAGGGCTAACCACCTCCAGCTCTATCCTCCCACCTTGCCCTCGCCTCCAACAGCTTCCCTCCAGAAATAACTAAGTGTATGAGCTCACCCACAGGGAGAAGACAGAGGCATGACACCTACAAGTTGCCTATTTATAGAAAGTGTTAACACTTCTTGGGCAAAGACACCAGAAGTCTCCTTGGAAACACCCAGGCCTGTACTCCCTTTGGAATCCCAGTCTGCTGACACTGTGGCTGGGGAACCGCCTGTGAAGCAAACCAAAACCGAGGCACAGAGGTACTTACGGTTTTCCCCCAGGGATTCCTGCCAGGTTCGGAGGGATGGTAGGTACTCTCATGTGGGGAGGAGGATCAAAACCAACCTGTAAATAAAAATAAGGCATGGCAGACTCATTTATGCAAGGTAGGCACTTTCGCAGCACTGACTTTCCATTAGAAACTAGTGTATCCCCAGAGCAATATAAGTGGGAGCAATACCGAGGCTAGCATTTTTTTTTTTTTAAAGAAAAAGTCTAATGTAAGTAACATAATCACCTCTAGACACCACAAGACACACTTCCTTTTGGAAGGTGGAACAGGGGTGCGATCTACTTGTGCAATGAGAACCAGCTTCGGATGGTAAATCCTTCCCCATAGACTTGATCTTTCCCTAATCAGGTGCAGAGAGAGCAATGCTGATAACCTTCACACTGCTGATGCTTCAGGCCAGATAGTTCTTTTCCTTGTTGAAAGGTGTCCTGGCCATTGCAGGGAGGTCTTTATTTTCAAGTGGCAACAGCGTCTCTCCAGTTGTGATCATCAAAATGTCTCCAGGGGGCAAAACTCCTCAGTTGTGGTGATCATCAAAATGTCTCCAGGGGGCAAAACTCCTCAGTTGTGTACCACTCAGATCTAAGTTCATGCATGGATTCCCTATTTCTGTCTACCTTAACGGCAGCATCTAGTCCCTTTGCTGCCTATCTTTGAACTCTTGCCCTCCACTGCACATCCATTTCGACAAGCACAACAGAAGGAAAAAACAATGACTTTAACATCTCCCCCAATCATAGGGTGTTATGTTATTTTCAAGAGGGGAAAGGAGAGAGAGGTATGTGACGGCGGTATTTTAAAATAGCCACAGAGCTTCTGTTTGATACCTAATATTATACACCCTTTCCTGTTGCAATCGGTGACAACAGTCAATTTCACTCTTCAAATGCAGCTGTTTATCTTCTCAGTCAAAACGGGGCCATTTGCATAGGAGCAGCAGAAGGTAGGGCAAGAAGAAACCGACAGCCCAGCCTCGCAGGTTTACGGTCTGTCTTTCTACTTGTTATACACAAACCACTTGTAAGATATGAGCCACGCTATTGGGTGTAAAGAATATATAGACATGGAAAGAGAATGCTATGACTTCTCAAATGTTTTTTTTTCCCCCTAAGGTTTAAATAGAGAGAGAAAGAGAGAGCAAAAAAAAAGAAAAACTTAAGAAAATGAATGAAAAGGCTTCTGTGAGCCACTAGAGTCATTTCATCGCCTTTAAATAAAAAAATCTACTTTGGTGGGAGAAAACCAGATGTCCCCAGGACCACTGAAGGAGCTTCTAAACACTGCCTTTTTTCATGGACAAAAACAGTAAAACAAAAAGCGTTTGGGCCTCACTTAATGAACCAGCATGTTGATGAAGGCTGACAAGAGGAGGGCAAGGGTGCAGTGGGAACACTGGCGTCTTTGTGTTGGAGGTGTGTGGGGCCGGCTGCTCCTGCCCCCATAGCCTGGGGAGGCCTGTGTACCCCGGGGCTGACAGCACTCAGTGAAGCATGTGGCTTTTCCCACCCAAGCAAAGCCCACCAGCAGTGGCCTACCATTGGGGAGCGCCCGTAGGCCACCACGGCAGCCGCAGCGGCAGCGCTCATCTGGGGTGACATGCTGTGTAAACTGGCGTAAGCGGCGCTGGGGCTGGTCAGCTCGCCGTTCATGCCGGCGTGGGGGACCATCCCAAAGGGAGCAGGGTACGGGCCAGGCACTGCCAGGGGCGTCCTCAAACCGGCGGCTGAAAGGAAACACAAGCCGCATGTCACTCGACTGCCCACTCCAGTCAAGCCTGACCAGCAATTCCAGAGTCATCTGTTAGTGTCATTTGTCATGGGGAGGGAGGAAAAGAGGCTTCCCGGGCAGCAGGGAGATTACCTCTAATTTATACACTGGATCCAATCCTCCCCAGAGCTAATTTAATCTCCAGGACAGGAAGGACCCCAGAAGCAAAACCCACAGATTTTCTCATTGGTATATGTGGCAGTGCTGGGACACCAGGGGAATTAATCAGCATCATTGTACCCAATTCAGAGAGCAAACCAAGGCACAGACACTAAGTGTTTACCTGACTTAATCTCAAAAGAAGATTTTCTTGATAAAATCCAAGATTTCTCCTTCAGTCCGAATTTTCCATTCCCTGGTACCAATTCCAAATGAAAACCAAATCCTAGATTCACGTAAACCAAAGCATGGATTTAGGAGGAATATTCTGGTGCTTACTTTCTGTTGGACTCAGGTTGTTACTTTTTTCCTTGCCCAGAGAGGAGAGTTAGGAGTTTACTCATGGGCTAGAGAACCCTCCTGATTTCTACTGATTCTTGGGGGGTGGGCTAACAGAAAACCAGCCAACCACAGTCAGCAAGAAGCTCGCTCTAGCCTCAAAACTGGACGTTTCGGTCAATATTAGCGAAGTCAGACACACAATGATAGTTTGGTCAGAAGCTTATGTACAGAATAATTATCGGAAACTTGACTGAAGTCCCTAGGATTTGGATTATTTGGAAATAAAAGAAAAGCTGAATGTAAACAGTTGGAGACCAAACAGGGTGCTGCTGCTGAGACCCAAGGACAAACATCTGCTTCTTACCGTGCCTTTTTCAGAGACAGGAAGGAGGGTGGTGGCAAGGGCATTTCATATGCATGGGGAAATCACGTCACTAGATTAACAGACAATTTACTGAGCTGGGAGAGGGAGGAACACAACGCAGCATAATAAGAGGCGATGCTCTACCCGCTTGGTTGACGAGGGGCTCCATGGCTGGAGGCTTGCCCAGGCCTGGACGGAGTCCTGGAGTGGCGCTGGTGCCCGGCGTTGGCATGTCGCTCCGAGGAGTCGGCGTGCTGGATTTCAGAACGGGCGTGCTGGCTTTTTCATGCTGGTATCATTAAACAAATTAAATGAGTATTATTTTTAATCCAAGCCATATTACACAATTTATCACAACAGCAGCTGGGACACTGGGCACCTTCTAGCTACTCCCTCAGCCAATTTTCATAAATCCACACAATGTTGACAGCATTAACTTGTGAGCGAGAAATGTTGACCTTTCCTCTTCCTGCCAGAATTAAAACTCGAGCTAGAGACAGAGAACATGATCACACTTCTTCCTCCGCAGATTTTATTTTGAAAAGAATTTTCCATCGGGCTTGTGGACTCAGGCTCTTTGCCAAGTCAAAATGATGACCACCCAGAGAATAACTCCCAGTCCCTTGGAAACGTGGGCTCCAGCCACAGGAACATCTAAGGGAAGCTCCTTTCTCTAATCCTGCCTTTGGGTAGCCGCAGAATTGAGACTAATGACGAAAGACAGCGAGACCATCAGTTACGTGAGAAGCAAACCAGCATTTCAGAGGCAAAAGCCCCAGAACAAGCTTCATCTAAGAAGAATACCTTTGGGGGTAGGTTTTGCCACCCACCTACCTACATAACGCATATGGACCCACCAGTACAGGCACGGGAGACTTAACACCAGCCTGCTCTCAGCACTACCGGAGGCAAAACAACAACAGGGTGGAAGGACCGTGTCTTCTACCTCTCAACTTTTCAGGACCCCCATGGCAAAGATCATGGGCCAGCAAGGGACCCCAGCACTCTGTCTTGCACCTGGTAGGCTGTGTGGTGCAGCAAATTCATCAGCTTTCCTTCCCGTAGGTGACATGGGGTAACAACTGGGGGACTGTGTAAGGATTAAATAGGGTGGTAAGGGACCTTTATGAATGAAGAGATGACAAGCTTTACAACATTTGTTGAAAGAATACACTACCACACAGATGGGCTTTGATGCACCCCAACACCACCAGTTTTTTCTAGGCCTCCTTGAGTACATCACTGTTCTAATGAGCTCTCTAATATCGGGCATGCTCCCAGCAAGCCCCAACATGATGGGACAATCTCCCCCATTAAGTGCACAGCTTAACAAAGTCAAGACTTCCTCAGATCTGAGAGGTCTGAACTATGTGCCAAATGGTGAATTTCACAGATTTGTGTCTCTAACCACGATTCATAAGAGACTACTGCAGAAGAAAAAGTAAAAACACTGTCTCCATAAAAACAAGAGAAGGAGTTTCGCTTTTTAATACTTGAAAATATAACGCTCAGCCGGGCTCAGGAGGCTGAGAAAGGAGGATCACAAGTTGGAGGTCAGCCTCAGCAACTTAGCATGACCCTAAGCAAGTGAGTGAGACCCTGTCTCAAAAAGAGCTGGGGATGTGGCTCAGTGGTTGAGAGCCCCTGGGTTCAATCCCTGGTACCAAAACAACAACAGATATAACCCTCAAACAGCAAAATCCTGACTTTCAAATTTTTTTAGTGTCCTCTGGTCCACAAAGAAAAATGCACTGCCAAATAGGCTACCAATTTTCTTTACATACCAAGCTCATTTCTTTGGATTTCAAAGAAGTAGAACTTCCCGAGGAGGCAGTGGAAGCTGGGCTACTAGAAGCATCTTTCTTCAGCAGGCGATTTTTGTCGATTCCATTTTCCCGAGGTGAATGGGCAGGACTTGCTCGTGGAGAAGAAGGGTCCTCAATAAGTAGAACCAAAAGTTTTCATGTTTTAGCTTACAGCAGACAAACTTTTCCACACTAATTCTCTAATTATAAGAGAATACTGGAAGTCCTTTTGATTGGAGTGGGGAGGGCATGACATGCCTAATGATATTATAATAAATGAATGAGAAGGTGTCTGCTGAATACCCATGAACGTTATCATAAAGAAAATTATCAAATTCCTCCCTGTGACCAAGTACTTTCCCTAGAAGTCATTGGAAAGAGGAGCCAGACACCCAACTTAGAAATCCAAAATGACCAGGGCAACAAATGGTGCTGGGTATCAAACCCAGGGTCTTGCAAATGCTGGGCCAGTGTTGGAGCTATATCCTCAGCCCAGACTTTTTATTTTTTTTTTAATAAAGAGAATAATAACTTGTGTCAGTTAAGACTATTATTGCTCCATCCACGTACAACCATTAGGTTCTTAATGAATACAAATGCAAAAGACACTGTGGTTCTATTTCCTACATTTACTACTGGGTTTTTCTCACAATAGAAATATATAAGTTATTCTGAAGATACACTTTTTGACAAAAACAATGATTACCTCATTGGACACATCCACAACTAAGTTGTCATCGCTTTTGTCACCATCGCTGTCCTGAAAAAAAGAAATTTTACTGTTTCATGAAGGCTAAGAATGGAAGTGAACATAGTTAAATTTCTTTCTATAGTTCTTGGTGGCGCACAAGCTAGAAAACTACATGGAACATGCCTGTGGGCTCACTTCCAGATTGCCAACCCTTCCCATTAATACCACCTTCCCCTTCTCATCTGACCCGAAGCTACGCAAAGCTGCCCCCAGGAATTCTGCTGCAGTAGCAAACTAGCTCTCCAATTATAATTTGCTTACAGGAGAAGGCAAGTTGCAAAAATATGGTGCACTATGAAGGCATAATAAATGTTTTCAATAAATACCTAGATCTTTTCTGTGATCTAAAATCTTGCTTATAATCTGATATCTGCATACCCTTACATCCGCATTCTTCTTCCATTTGATTTTCAAATTAAGTACACAATTTCATGTCATTATCTTTATACGTCTCACCTTGAAGGCAGATGGCCAGCCAATCTGGCGCTCATAGACAATTCATATAACAGACACAAATTCACTTAACCCATTTTTCCATGGGGTTTCTAGTTATAGCAGAAAACAAAAAAGATCCAATCTCATGTCAAGAATAAACCTCTTCAGCAATCAGCTTTTTGGAGAGATGGAAGGAATACAGATGGCAGTGTTTGGAGGGCATTGCCATTCTGCAGAAAGATTTTTATTGACTCTTCAATAGAACTGTAAAATTTGCTAATCAGAAGAAATTCTGGGGTTGCACTGAGTTTGGAAGAGATTCAGAAAAGCTGCTCAGTTAATGATGTGATGACTCCTCCATCAAAGTTTGGGGCAGGCTGTAAAACTCTTGTTTTTTATTTTTACTCAAAACCCCTTATATCCTTTAGTGCAGAGAAATACAATAAGCATGTAGAAATTAGGACCTCTTGATGGGTCCAAATTCTTAAAAAATAAGTAGAACCCAAATTTATGATCTAAATAATTCTCTTTTTTTTGATGTCACTGTCATTAGGATTATACAAAGAATATTTGAGAAATGTTAACACATACAAGTGCAAACATAACCCACAATGGCCTTCTGTGAACCCACAGTTCAAGCAAGTCTTCGACTCTAAATTCAGATCTCAAATGTTATTTCCCAACCATTCCCAGAACTGCACGTGGGAGACCCTATTCACTTTCTTCAATAATGTGTTAGAAGATATACTTTAGTCATTGTTATGAAGGCACCATGCAATTCACCAGTAACAACATAAAATTACAACCAATGAGGAAGCTGGGGTAATACAAAATAACAGTCTATTCAAAAAAATATTTTCATAAAGAAGAGAGAAAAACTAATAATAAAGAAAATTTGTTTTCTCGCAGGAAAGCCCACAGAGAGGTACAAATGTTCTATGGTGTTAAGTGTGTGGCAAAAGAATACAAAATAAAAGGGTTTACCTTTTAGAAAAAAAAATTATAAAAATAACTGTGCAGTATATAGGTTAAACTGGTTAAAAAGTAGCAAACAAATTCTTAAAATATTAATCTTTTTAACATTAAAGAAAAAATTTATTTTTCTAATTGACACATAATTATACATGTTTACATGGGGTACATGTGTAGTGATTCAATACATGTATACACCGTGTAATGATCAAATTAGGATATTTTAGGACCTGTTGTCCTGCCTCCCTCTATTCCCGAGCCTTCCCACCCACTCTAATGGAACTCTGAAATTAGTTTTTCAAAGGGAAATGCATACATGGGACATCAGCACTGGGCAGCAGATAAGGGGAGAAGGTATGTATTAAAAAGCTTGGGCTGGGCCAGGGAGAACCTATGACTCTGGTTTTTATGATATTATTACACCATAGTACAAAAAGGTCTGATTCGAGGAACTGTGGAAAAATACCAATCCTGGGTGGGACTGGATGTAGGAATTTTGATTAAGAGCACAAATTTTGGTTGAGTCAGACTACCTCTAGGCTCTGCCAACAGCCAGGACCTCTGGCAAACCACTTTGAAGGTCCAGGCCACAGTTTCTTCATGTATGAAATGGAGATGATGGTAGCTAACTCACTGGGTTACAGTAAGAATCCAGTGAAATAATCCATATAAAAACACAGGGCAGCTGGAACGAGTTTGAATTGGTGCTCAAGAAATGTTACCTGTTGCTAGCTATTAGCACGAGCAAGCCTCAGAAGGTAGAGGCCAGTGTTTAAACTTCCAGTCTACCCAGTAGACACTTCTTCCTCCAGGGATGACAGCAAGTGGCCCAATTCAGGATCCTACTCTCATATTGTTCCTGAGAACTCACTGGTGGAGACACACAGGGCAAGTCCAAGCTAAATCATGGCAGTAATGTTTATGATTCCAGGGCCAGAGCCAGTGGCCACTTGGCCTGACTTGCTCTCCTCTGAATGTGACTTCAATGGATCTATGTTGAATTCTCGTCCGTCAACCGGGTGAGCGATCTCATCTGCAGGGTGTGAACTAGATCCTCTGATGTTTCATCTGTTTTTACCATGGACTAAGATCACCCACTGCAGAAGACCATAAACTCTACCTTAAACCTAACATAATCCTAGATATCTTAGCTGAAGAGCATCTTGAAAAAATATTCTGTGCTACCAATTTTTTTTTTTTTCTCTTTTTTTGGTACCAGGGATTGAACTCAGGGGCTAACCACTGAGGCATAACCCCAGTCTTTTTTATTTTTTATTATTTTGAGACAGGTTCTTATTAAATTGCTGAGGCTGGCTTTGAACTTGCAATCCTCCTACCTCAGACTCCTGAGCCCCTGCAGTTACAGGTGTGCACCACTTCGCCTGGCTTCAAATTTTTTACTCTATTTGTGCATAAGTGGCTACCAAATTTGCAAGGTCCAAGACAAAAGGAAAATGCAAAGCACTCATTCAAAAACTGAGATTTCAGTGATGGTAAGATGAGACCCTTCTAGAAGCAGGGCCCAGTGCAGCCTTATGGTCCACAAAGCCACACCTAAATTTTCAAAGTCCCTCTTGCAGATCACTTCTTGAACTTCTGGCTAAGATTAAGTGAAGAATAACTAAGACAGTTTAAAATGTAAAATTAAGTCCAAAAGAAGCATAATTTACAGCCCTAAAGGAAAAGAATATTCTACAATGTAAGAGTTTACCTCTTTTTAATGTTTTCTTTTTTGTGTATGCAGGCGACAGAACCCTGGGCCTGGCACACGCAAGGTAAGCCTTAACACCACTGAGCTATATACATTCCCAGCCTTTTTTTCTTTGTCTTTTAATTTGAGACAGGGTTTCATTAAGTTGCCCAAGCTGATCACAAACTTTTGATCCTTTAGTCTCCCAAGAGGCTCAGATATAGGCATGTACTACCATGCCCAGCTCTGAACTTACCCTTACCTTAAAGGATGTGGAATTATAATGGAAATCTTAGATTACACTTAGACATTCACATAGAAAGTAGGCAGTAAGCAAACAAATAGTATTCAAAGTCTTTTATTTACTTACATAGTGGCTAGAATCCTTATCATCCACCTTCCGTTTTTTGATGTCATTGGAAAATTCGGGCCCATTTCTGCGTTTATCTGTACCTCTTAGACTGTCTGGGACCAAAAGGGAATTACTCTACAAGACAAAAAAAAAAAAAAAATGTATCTCTCTCTCTCTCTCTCAAAGGCTTCTTTGCCAGTCTCTTTGTACACATGAAAACCCAACCTGGAAGTGGGAACTGTTTTAGAAAGGTGATACCTATACAACCTTTTATTCCATTTAAGTCATCTGTCTGAAGACTTTGATGGCAAACATTTAAAGAGCTTTCCCCACTTAAAAGGACCCTGTCTTTGGTATCAAACCTTACAAATCCTGGTGAATCCTTCAGGCTCTGCTCACTCTAAATGTGCTCCTGTTCTATCTGGTGCTGGAGAAACTGGGAGCTTGCTGTTTGTGTGTGGATGTGTGTTTACTCTGTCAAGAATATGAAGGACTGATGAGCAAATCTTGAGATTGCTCCACTAGGCATATTCTATAACTCTTAAGAGTCACTGTGTACCACTCTAAACAGACACAAAAGAAACAGGTGGGATTAACAGCATGGTTTCCTAAAAGGCAAATCACATTTTCCATAGCAACGATAAAGGAACTTTTGAATTCTTTTAATTTATTGTTGAAAATAAGATTTGGTGTTGCTCGCCAGAAGCACTGAAACTTAAGTCCCACAGGGGAAGAAATCTCAGCCTGTGACGCTTCAATAGCAAGACCAGCTCCCACACACAAAGCAGGAACAAGGACTAATCTCTTCCACCAGCCACACAGGATACTTTCATTGGCATATGCTGAGTGCGAACTGTTGACCCAAAGAAAACAGGCATTTGAGATATTTTGGGGTCACATGACATGATCTGACATCCCTTCAATTCCCATCTCCCCTTGGGCTAAGGCATGAGAACATGTTACAATGAGTTCTTTTAAGTGCAGGATTAGCATATGCAAGGAGGCAATTTGTTCAGTGATGTGTTACTGCCCTGAACGACTGTGAATGAGCTGTGCAAAAAACCTCCCTTCACAAAGCCCAGATAACCCCAATTTCTGAAAGATGTTTGCGAACTAAAAGCAGGTGTCCAGGCCAACAGACAATTATGCTATCTTCCTGTGTCACAATTTAAAATAAAAAAGGGCAGGGGAAATCTTTAGGTTAGACCACATCTGAGGTGACAATATATACCAGGAGCAAAAAATCTTATGGTCCATTTTTTAAGGCCATGAGTTTTTGATCCCCACCAGACAGAGGTATAATCAATCAGCCAGGTGGCTGGCTCTCAAATCTCCCCTGGGAAAAACCTGGACCCCCACCATGGGAGTGCTCCCAGCTCAACCTCACACAGGAGGAAATCAAAACGGAGGACCAGAAGGCAACACGAAGCCTCGTGGCCCACTTCATTCTAAAGTGAGCTGAGCTCTTTTATTCCTGACTGTTGAAGCTACACAAATGCCAGGAGGCTCAGATAAAAGGAGGTAGAGGGAACTAGGCAATTCAATATGGAGAAGCTCAAAGTAATGGCTTTACCACAGGGGCTGGGGCTGAAAGGTGAGCTGGCTGCATCCCTGAACTAATTACCTTCATAAATGTCTGCTAAAAACTAACCTCTTCAACCCAGTCCCTCCGCCTGACAAAGGATGCGGTAGAATTAATACAACTCCAGGAAGTGCTTAAATACACCTGCCTCTGTTCTAAATCATTTCAGCCCCAAAGTCTCCTCCCGCTCTGCAAATGCAGCAAGGGAAAGGCACATACTCACTCTACTTCCCATCTGCACAGGTACCCAGCGAAACATGTCAAAGAATCCAGGTCCACTGCAATTTCAAAGTCTCTTTCCACAAGGCTATCTTTACAGGCCTCCTGTGTGATTAGCACCAGGCATCCAAACCACTCACCATTCCAAAATGGTTTCTTAACGTCTTATTTTAAAAATCACGTCCAGTGGAATTGGGAATGTCAAAAGTAAAGTGTACCTCTGTTAGGAGCTACACAGTGTTAGAAACATCTCTACAGCTGGCCCTTTAAGGCTCTCAGGCCTCTGCTTCTACAAGTTAGAAGTCATTACTGTAACTTCCGCACGAGCAGCTTAAATGAAGTCTATAATCTGAATGGGTTTTGAAAAGCTCTGAAGTTCCTCTAAATTTGGACTGGGCTGGTAATTAGCATCCCTGCTTTATCTGAAAATTGGCCCCATTCAACCGGCAGACTTCAACAAGTTGCAAAACAAGATGTCTCTTCATACCTTTGATGCTGTAAGACAGCCTCAAAACAGGGCAGCAAAGGGGTGGGGGCTGAAAAGGCCTGGGCGTGAGATCCAGGGCATCCCGGGCTCCCACTGCTGTGCAGCACCAGCCCACCAAAAACACACCACGTCCTTGAACCTTTGTTTCCTGCAACCCAGTTCTGTGAGTGACTGGCCGACTTTCCAGTCCCGACACTGCTCTGGTGGTTGTTCTAGATATAAGCAAACAGTTCCAGCCTAATGAGCTGCACTGGCAGCCAACAGCAACCGTCTGGTTTCTTAACTACTGTCTAGGGGATCCTTATCTTTGTGGTTCCCTCGTTTGTTCTCCAGAAACCCAAAGTGACTTCGTGGGTATTGCTACATGTCTCAAGATACCCAAAATATTTTTCCTTCATGCACCATCTGCTACTTCTTCCTTGGCTGAAGGGTGGAACACAGCCATTTTGCCAGTCACAATACACCACTCATATGAATCTCAAGTATTAAGAGACGATACCTGATATCGACTGAAAATCCTTTAGCTTCTTCAAAATTTAGGATTCTGTGTTGATAGAGTAACTATTGTACATACTGAACAAACATTTAAGAGGAGACCAAATTGCAAAAGAATGAAACTGAGGTTGTTTTGCTTTAAGTAACTTAAAAAGTCATACACATTCCAGACAATTAGACTCAAACTAGGAAAGAAAACCAAAACAACCTTCAAGAGATACTTTTCATCCCCCTCATTTTATCTGGAGCACTATGATGTCCAAGCCAGGGTGATTTGCCTAGAGCAGCTCTTCCTACCACCTACAGAGTCCAATTATGTCGAAGTGCCACCCCTCCCAGATTGGAGATTTCTCAGCTCAGATTCTGTACCCAGAACACTTATACCCTAGTAAAAATCACTCAAAACCCACACTGGCTCTTTAAACTGCCGTGCTTAACATTCTGACAATGTCTCACGTCTGCTTCTCTGATACTCCTCCTAACCAACAGTCAACAATCTGGTTCTATGCCTATCACTTAAAAAATACAAACATGTAACTATAAAAACTGGACATTTTACAGCCTACTTTAAAATGAACTGCTCAGCCTGGTCAACACAGTGAGACTCTTCCACTAACTAGCAGTAATAATAATTTTTCAAGATAAAAATAAAATAAAATTAACTGAGAATAGTTCAAAATTCCTCATAAAAATCCTGCTGCTCATAACCTAAGCTATGTCCTATCAAGGACCCCAGTAGAACCACAGCAGTCCACCTATACCCAGCACCAGTCCCACAGGCTGCCAATCCCCACAGGTAACAGTTTTACAGACCTATTTGCCACTGCAGATGTCTCCTCCCAGAGTCCATTTCTTTTTTTTTTTAAAAAGATTTCAATCTACCAAATAGCATTCATCAAGTGGAATTCATTTTTCAAATATTTATCTGCCAAATAAATATTTAGTTATGAATAAGACTTTTTTGATCAACATGAGAACCACTGTTATCACACTGATTGACAGACTCTCGTCCCAGCCAAGAAACTCAGTGTTTTATTTCACCTTGCAGCTGGTGAAATTTACATATCTGCCAGAACTTTCCAAACACTGTAAATACTGGGCAGACTTCTATCACAAATGTCCCAAGCACTGGGATTTCCAGACTGTATATAAGTTTCTCTTTAAGATTTTGTTAAGAAATAAACAAAATCATCTTATTTACCTGTGTTTTTATAGGAACTCAAAATAGGGAGTTATATAGCCTAGGGGAGATATTACAAACCTGAGCAAATCAAGATCTGAAAACACAGTGTTTTCAAAACAAACTTAAATTCTAAAACCATAATGATGTTCTACACCTTATGGTTGCACACGCTTAAGGATGTAGAGCCAAGTAAAATGGTACAGGGACAGGCAAATCTGACAAGACTCAAAAAGGAAAGAAAAGATCCTCCTAGAATGCTCAATGCTAGCAAAAGAAAGAAGCCTGGCTGCATTTACACATAGAAACTACAACTGAGATGATCAGATGCAGGTTAAGGGACAGGAAAGGCATGCTCCACAGCAAGAAAGGACCTCTCCCCCTCTTAAGAAAACCTAGAATTCTTTGGAGAACATCAAATCTTCAGGGGCAACTGGTAAATTGTTTGGTATTATAATTAGATGCTTCTTAAGGGTCCACATCCACCCAACAGAGCAGAATGGCTATGTAAGGCAGAGAGCTTGTCAGAAGAAAAAGATTTTCCCTTAACAGGACCTGCATCCCCCCTCCCTCCCTCTCTCTCTCTCTCTTTCGACAAACCGGAGCACAATTTCCTAACTGTGGGAACCCAACCTCCCCCTGCAGTGGTGGAATAGGTGCAAGTTAACTGGACAGTTGGCTCAGTGTTAGAACCCAGTGGGCAGAAGAGGCCAATACAGCCTATCAGATAAAACAAAAACCAAAGATCCCAATACAATTATAAAATCATACCTCCATTTAAGAACTTACAATGCAAGGAGAAGAGTCAACTGAACTTCAGAGAGTAACCAGCAGAATAAAAAGAAAACATCAAGATTTGGACTTTGTATTACCCTCATGTTGACCATTTTAGAAATGGATGTTCACATTTTATGCTCTGAACACTCAAGATAAATATAGCAAAACCCTCGGTGCTTCAATAAGGATTAAGCCCAGTCTTTTATGGTCTTGTTCCAGGAATTTTGCTTTCTTTAGCAATCTAACAGTAATGGCTGTTCTTGACTACTGAAACAAATCTGGAAAATAACTCCAGAAACTATGAAAGAAACGCTTAATGAAATGTTACACTGTCAATGCTGTAATGCTACCAAACACTAGTGACAGCAGCCTTCATGTATCTCGAGGACTCAGAG